TATCTTGACAAAAGTACAGTTTTTTAAGACTGTTTTAAGATTACTCTTTTGTTTTGTTTTTAAAGAAAACTTATTTGAGTTCTTCTTAAAACTGTGTTCTTGTAGTTATTATTTCTGTTGTTCAACTACTACCATTTATACCTTTTCCAAATATAAGTTTGCAATTATTTACTTCATTCTTTTATCACTTTGATAAAAAGAGTAATCTGATCGAGTCTGGGAGAGAAGAGTAGTGAGGGATTGGCGGGGCTCAGATTGGCTAGGACATAATGGGGTGGGGGCACTTYGAGGAAAATGGGTTGAAGCATCAACAGAGGTCTATGACATCATTAGTTCACTGCAGATAAAGCACCTGGAGGYGTTTAAKGTGGTTGCAAGGGGACTAATCACATGAAATTGACGGACGCTCTGCCCAGTTTTTACCAGCATGCCATCTTTCCCWCACGGGGAGACAGCACTCTGGACTGTGTGTGTACCAAGGTCTTCATGTGTACCAAGATGGGGTCTACCTTGCCCCCATCTTGGCCTCTCAGACCATACACCTCCATCCTGCTAGCACCAGCTTATCAACCGCTATGAGACACATTAGTCCAACAAGAAGACAGTCACTGTTTGCTCCAGGACTGTTTTCAGTGCACAGACTGGCAGGTCTTCAGAGAGGCAGCTACATATGAGGAAGAGGTGGACCTGGAGGAGTACACCTCTACTCCTCATGGCTTTGTCTCACAGTGTGCTGATGGTGTCACCACCACCAGGACACTAGCCTGGTAACCGAACCAGAAGCCCTGGGTGAATGCTATAGTCCCTGTCCTCAAGTGCTCCACAGTGGCAGGCCTGAAGAACTACCAACCTATAGCCTCTACAAGGGTGGTCATGAAGTGCTTCCAGAGGACAGTCATGACCCACATCAAGGTCTCCATCAACTTCACTGTGGACCCACATCAGTACACCTGCAGGAAGAAGTGCTGTACTGCTGACACCATCTCATCAGTGGTCCACACAGCTCTCACCCACCTGGAGAGCRGAAACTGGACTTCCTGACCAACAGACCTCAGGCTGTCAGGATCCACAAYACTCCATCCTCCATCACCCTCAGCACCGGCTGGCTGYAGGGCTGCGTGCTGAGCCCCCTCCKATTCACCCTGCTGTCATATAGTGAAGTTTGCAGATGACTCAGCAGCAGTGGGATGCATCACAAACAACKAAGAGTCCAGTTACAGAGAGGTGTTGGAACGTCTGGTGCATGGTGCAGACACAATAACCTCCACATCAACATGAAGAAGACATGGTAGTGATGATTTCAGGAGAGACTAGGACCCTCTTCAGCCCCTGTTCATGGGTGGAGCAGCTGTGGAGGTGGTCTCCAGCTGCAGGTACCTGGGTGTGCATATATCCAGTGACCTCACCTGGAGAGCCAACACCTCTTGTGTGGTCAGGAAGGCCCACCAACATCTCCACTCCTCAGGAAGCTGCAGAGAGCTGGACCTGGGAACTCAGTCCTGAGGAGCTTCTATCTGTGTGTGGTGGAGAGGGTTCTCAGCAGCTGCACCACCGTGTGGCCCTGCTGCTGAGAGGACGGCTCTACAGGGGGGGTAAGGCTGGACAGAGGACTGTGGGGAGCAGCCTGCCCTCCATGTTGGACCTCTACACGTCACGATGCAGGGGCATGGCGCTCCACACTTTGAAGGACTCCACCCACCCTGCCCACAGACTGTTTCAGCCCCTCCCCTCAGGCAGGCTCAGGAGCATCCAGAGCCAAACCACCAGGCTCAGAAATAGTTTGTACCCTGCAGCTGTCAGACTGCTGACCTCGAGCCGAACTTAATTCAGCCTCATCTCATCTCTTTTATTTATATATTTATTTAATATTAATCTTCTTGAACCAGCACCTCGGTCTACATTTCRTACCACAAACATGCAAATGTGAGCTGGTATGACAATAAAAATCCTGGAATTCTTGACATTTCATCAAGATCTGATCATGTTTATGGATGTACAGGCTTGAAATAACAACCGTTAGTCGTGTAATTAGATTCTTTTGCCTGCTGCTAGGTGGCAGTTGCATATAAACACATAATGATGTCATGAAATGGTTGCCCTTCATCAGAGCTAAACAACAAAAAATATTTGAAGTTCTTATTGTAGAGATCAGCGTCATTCAAACATGGAAGTCTGAATAATAGCAGGAACTCACTTGGGCTTCTTCTAAAAATCTTTATTCTCATCTGACTCCAATCAGCTCCACACAGTAGTACCCAGCACAGCAGTCAGACCTCAGTGAGGCAGGGCTATTCAACTAAACTGCTCCGGTTTATACAGACATAACACATTGATTACACACCAGCTCTCATTCTCTGTTTAAACCTTATGGCTGAAATGATCAGAAAGTATAAAATATCAAACTGGATCTAACATTCATTTGATCAGTTACAACATTTCYTTCATTATGCTGAAWAWTTTCTCAGCTATAGGCATTCTTGTGTCTCATTCCGTTATTTAAGCCACAGAAACAAGATGATGGTAAAATTAGCTGATTTTTGACTCCATATCATCTGAAGACCTTGACATGYCTTGAAACAGAAAGCAGCCCATGTTTAACCTCTGGTTCCTTTTCCAGGAACTCCCTCTCCCTGCGAGCCCAACGAGTTTAGGTGTAAAAATGGTCGCTGTGCCCTCAAGCTTTGGCGTTGTGATGGAGACAATGACTGTGAAGATAACTCTGATGAATCAGACTGTCGTAAGTCTKTGATCGATAAATGTTGTGGTAATGRGACTGTTCGGACCGTGTGCAACRTGGCATAGACATACACAAATGTTGTTTGTAAGCTTTATGTCTCCTGCTKTTCAAAGTGAGTGACCAGCTGCTGAATATCTCCTGTCTTTGGTGTTACAGCTACCAAGGGTCCTGATGACACATGTGGTCCTGAGCAGTTTGAATGCCAGACTGATCACACCTGCATCCCATCTAGTTACCAGTGTGATGAAGAAGCAGACTGTGTGGACCGCTCTGATGAGTACGGCTGCAGTAAGTCTCCTATCAGCAGCTGAGCTCTGCTGTCTACTCTGATGCTACGTTCACACCGAACACGTTTTGAGCTGCAGGAGTGTCCGGTTCACATGCAAAGTCTATGGTGGACGCGACTCTAGGGGTTGTGCGTTGCGTCACGTACGTTTTGGACGGCGCAGAAGGAAGGCAGAGCGTTTTCTGCGCATGCGGTGCTGCGGAATATCTGAACTTTTCGATGCCTGACGCGTCTCCCACTGAAAACCCAAACAGACGAACTGGAGATCTTTACCTGAAATCGACCGTGTGCAGTTGGATTTTCTGGCAGGATATATCAGCACCGATGTGGATCAGCTGCTCGGGAACAAAAAAATAAATAAACAGTCCGTCAGCTGGCAGCTCCTGGAGTGACGAAACTAACCGACCAAATTGCCTCTAAATCATCTGGTGAGTTAATTATCTGCTGTGCGCAACGTTCGCTTGTTTTTTAGTAAAGAAATCAAAGCCATTTTCTTTATTTTATCTTTATTCACCCACCGAGGACAAGCTCCTCCCACACCTCGCTGCAGCCGCTGCTGCTGCTGCTTGTTCAGGTCTGAACATAGTGTGTTCTTCTGTCTGAACATAGTGTGTTCTTCTATCTGAACATAGTGTGTTCTTCTATCTGACCATAGTGTGTTCTTCGGTCTGAACATAGTGCGTTCTTCTGTCTGACCATAGTGTGTTCTTCGGTCTGAACATAGTGCGTTCT